GGACGTGGACTTTTTTTGGGGCCCATTTTGTTTTTAAATTTAAAATTTGAAGGATTTTTGGGGCCCTTTTTTTCGGGTGATCTCTTTTTTAAAGGTTTTGTCTTTTCAGGTGTATCTTAATATGCATATGGAGGTAAACCTGGGTATATACTGGTGACAAAGGTAAAATATTTAGTTAGTGAAGCAACACTGTTCCTTTTACAGCTTCTTGTTTCTTATATTGGTAAATGAGAGCCTTTTTTTGTGGTTTTTAAGAGATGTAATAACAAAATAAGTAACTTTGTTGGGTTGATATCTAACTTAATGGAAGGGAAAGTTAAGTTGTGGCAGGTAATTTGAATATCTTTTTGTCAATTTAGGGAAATGTTTTATTAAAATAATGAGAGGGGGTAACATCAACATCGTTAAAGAAGAGGAAACCCATTTTAAAGCCCAAGAAGAGGGTACAGATTGAATAATCTGAGGGCTTCTGAGATAATGTAAACAAAAAGGTGCATTAGGTTTTCTTGGTGAAAAAAATTGTTTTTTTGGTAAAGCGAGTTTTTAATCCCGTAAGGGACTTGGATTTTATCTAAATGTGAGGAAGCTATTCAGCTAGCAGAAAACCCTTCAAGTGGTTCTACTAAGGTACCCACATTGAGCTGAAAAAATACATTGTGCGGCCCTGAGGAGGCGTTCTACTAGTAAAGCTGGAAAGTTGTAATTACCTTTATGTATTAGTGCGATGACCCAAAAAAACAATAGCAATATAACTGAAACCCCCCCCCCCAAAAAAAGAGTAAAATTAGTACAGCAGGATCTCTTCCAATCTGTATAGGCTTTTGGACGCTTGAACCAAGGAAAAGTTACTGAAGAAATGCATAAAGAGTTATACAGACTAATTGCCACAATAATGACAACCCTAGTCAGTCTACATTACAAAAACTGATGCCGCGGCTCAATATAAGAGCATTTTCTAAGTACCTAAAAACAAACAATGTGAGTATAATGTGATAATTAAGAAATTAAATTGTGTTATGAATATGTTCTTTTTTGTTTTGATTTCAAGTCCATTTCAAATTTTAAGGATTTCACTATATATAAGAACAATTTGGTTATATAGATTTTGAAATTTTGTATAATACTTTTGTCTCTGTGTATTAAGTACCTTTTTAATATTCTTAATTACGATGAAAAAAAGTCTTATTTTATTTGATTTTTTAACTATTGTTTTCTCTCAATTTTAAACGGTTAAAATAGAACCCCATTATAAGACTGGTCCTAGTGCTGGAAAAAAAAGGTTTAATTTGTTCGATTGTCTTTTAAAGTCTTGGGTCATAATTGGGCATTTTTTAGAGTCAAGGTTTTTTTCGATGTGATAAAGGATTTGTAAAATATTCTGAATGAAAATGAGTATTATTTGGAGGCATTTTGGGGGAAAATCATATTGAACATTTAAAAGCTTTATTAATAAGTTCAACTTTTGGTTTTTAAAAAAAAATTCGTTTTGTTTTCGTTTTCTTTTATTACTATTAAATGGCTTAATATCAGAATGATAATGAAATATCATCAGTATAGTGGTTGAAACACTGTTAAAAACAGTCTGCAAAAAATAAGCAAAAGCTGAGACCCCAAGTCAGTAAAATCCCATTTGGGGGCTATCATAAATGTAGGAAAATAGTCACAGGGCTAGCAATGTTTTCGTAACAATTTTGTTAGATATTTGGGTCTAGTTAAAATTGGTTCGAGCTTTATGGTATTGTACTGGAAAAAGTCAAATGAATATGAAAGTGAAAAATTTGTACAGACTGACAAAGGATCCAAAATAGAATAGTAAGGCAGAATTTACAAACAAGAAAAACTTTCAAGAAAAACAAACTGCTAAGCTTAGATTAAATACCCCCGCACACGAAGTTGTAAGGGGGTATACTGGAATAAACTTGTCGGCCATCCGGACGTCTCCCCGTCCATCCGTCGGTTTTTCCTTGTCCGCCCAATAACTTTAGATTCTTCAAGGCAAAGGTCAAGGTCACAGGGGCCTTGACTTTAAAAAGCTTGTCCGCCCAATAACTTGAGATTCTTTGGCCTACAGTTTTCATATTGGGCATGGAGATTATTCATGATCAGTAGATGACCCTATTGATTTTGAGGTCACTGGGTCAAAGGTCACGTCAAAGGGGCCTTGACTTTAAAATGCTTGTCCGTCCAATAACTTGAGATTCCTTTGACCAAGTCTTCATATTTGGCATTGAGGTTAGTCATAATAAGTAGATGACCCCTATTGATTTTGAGGTCACTTAGTCAACAGGTCAAGGTCACAGGGACCTTGACTTAAAAAACTTGTCCGCCAATAACTTGATATTCCTTTGACTCACAGTCTTCATATTTGGCATGGAGGTTAGTCATGATTAGTAGATTACCCCTATTGTTTTTGAGGCCACTGGGTCAAAGTTCAAGGTCACAGGGGCCTTGACTTAAAAAAAGCTTGTCCACCCAATAACTTGAGATTCCTTTGGCCTACAGTCTTCATATTTGGCATGGAGATTATTCATGATCAGTAGATGACCCCTATTGATTTTGAGGTCACTGGGTCAAAGGTCAAGGTCAAAGGGACCTTGACTTTAAAAAGCTTGTCCGTCCAATAACTTGAGATTCTTTTGACCCACAGTATTCATATTTGGCATGGAGGTTAGTCATGATTAGTAGATGACTCCCGTTGATTTTGAGGTCACTGGGTCAAAGGTCAAGGTCACAGGGGCCTTGACAAAAAAAAGCTTGTCCGCCCAATAACTTGATATTCCTTTGACTCACAGTCTTCATATTTGGCATGGAGGTTAGTCATGATTAGTAGATTACCCCTATTGTTTTTGAGGCCACTGGGTCAAAGTTCAAGGTCACAGGGGCCTTGACTTAAAAAAAGCTTGTCCACCCAATAACTTGAGATTCTTTGGCCTACAGTCTTCATATTTGGCATGGAGATTATTCATGATCAGTAGATGACCCCTATTGATTTTGAGGTCACTGGGTCAAAGGTCAAGGTCAAAGGGACCTTGACTTTAAAAAGCTTGTCCGTCCAATAACTTGAGATTCTTTTGACCCACAGTATTCATATTTGGCATGGAGGTTAGTCATGATTAGTAGATGACTCCGTTGATTTTGAGGTCACTGGTCAAAGGTCAAGGTCACAGGGGCCTTGACAAAAAAGCTTGTCCGCCAATAAATTGATATTCCTTTGACTCACAGTCTTCATATTTGGCATGGAGGTTAGTCATGATTAGTAGATGACCCTATTGTTTTTGAGGCCACTGGGTCAAAGTTCAAGCCACTGGGTCAAAGTTCAAGGAACCGCCTCCGTGGTCGAGGGGTTAGAGTCGATGACTTCTAACCCATTACCTCTCTGGGTGGGTTGATCCCGGGAATGTTTGGTTTTAGCGGGGAGGAAGGTAGTTAGAGGTGTATACTTCCAGGAACGATGGTTAGGAACTGCTGTATGACGAAACTGTTGGGAAAAGGGTAAATCAAAACACAAACAAACAAAATTCAAAAGGTCCAGGGGCCTTGATTTAAAAAAAGCTTTGTCGTCCAATAATTGAGATTTCTTTTGGCTCAACAGTTTTATATTTGACTGGGATTAGTCATGATTAGTAGATGAACCTATTGATTTTGGGTCCTTGGCTTGACTTTAAAAAATTGTCCTCCCATAAACTTGAGATTCTTTGGCCATAGTCTTCATATTTGGATGGAGATAAGTTCATGATCAGTAGATGACCTTTTGGATTTGGGTCACTGGGTCAAAGGTAAGGTTCCAGGGACCTTGACTAAAAAGCTTGTCCCAATAACTTAAGATTCCCTTTGACCACAGCTTCATATTTGGCATGGAGGTTAGTCATAAGTAGATGACCCCTATTGTTTTTAAGGTCTCTGGGTCAAAGGTCAGGGTCACATGGGCCTGGACTAAAAAAAGCTTGTCCCAATAACTTGAGATTCCTTTGACCCACAGTCTTCATATTTGGCATGGATGTAACTCATGATTAGAAGATGACCCCTTTTGATTTTGAGGTCACTGGGTCAAAGTTCAAGGTCACAGGGGCCTTGACTTAGAAAAAGCTTGTCTGCTCAATAACTTGAGGTTCCTTTGCCCCTCAGTCTTCATATTTGCATGGTGGTTAGTCATGATTAGTAAATGACCCCTATTGATTTTGAGGTCACTGGGTCAAAGGTCAAGGTCACAGGGGCCTTGACTTAAAAGACTTGATTTTAAAAATTTTCACATTTGAAGCCTGGAGAATACATATCTTAGCAATGCACTGGCGTAGTTACCTCAGATTTGGCAGGGTGGTTGTCCTTGAGTTTTCAATTTTCTTGTTTTGTTACAATTCAATAAAGAAACCCTTAATTATTTCAGCATTGTTTGACGTGAGTCGTGAGACAGAAGTTAGTCTACAGCTGTACAGTAGGAAAGATATGATCATGTCCAAGTCCAACACAATACTTACAAAATGGCTCAGATTTATGAAAGGTATATCTTTTTCATATGTACACTATAGAACTTACACTGGAAAATGATGTCATAAATAATGCTGAATTTATATTAAAAACATGTGATTGCTGCATGTTAATAAATTTATTACATAGGAACAGAATAGAAATGTCACATCAGTTATGAAAAGGACAATAGTTCTCTATAACCTGATTTTATGTAACATATATTTATTCAATGACAAAGTAGTGTATGTTCATAATAATATAAAAATGGGAGAAAGGTTACAGAGGACGTGATTTCTATAATGATTTTGTAAATGTTAAAAAATATGTAGGGGCGTTTGTGGCTGAGTGGTTAAGGTGATTGACTTCGAACCACTTGCCTCACACTGCTGCTGGTTCGAATCCCAACAGCAAAAATCTATTGTTTTACTCAGGTGCCAAAATATAACTGAAATAATGCGTGGAAGGAAATGTAAGGTCTTCCTTTACCAGTAAAGCTGGAAAGATGCTATATGGCCTATACTTTATTTATGCAATGTAAAACCAAACATACAAACAAATGAACTAATAAAGATAAAAAAAACATATCCAATCTGTTGACATCAAATATGTAAAAAATAAGATATATTTAAATAATTCTTTATGCTTACAGCAGTTGATAGTGAAGACATTACATTCAATTTAAGCAGAGAGTTGTTACAAGACAGTGGATTGATCAAGTACAGTTAACTTACATATTTTTAATACAAAAAACAAAAATCCTCAACTTTTTCCAAAAATTAACAGCAAATTATTCTGTTATACATTTTCCTTTATCATTCCTTTTGCCAAACAAATTATTAAAGGTCATTTAAAGTGGTGGCATGGCCAAGCTGGTTAATACATCTGAGTAGCTATCTAAGGACTGCTGACCATGTGGGTTCAAACCCTGTCAGGGACAAGCCGTTGTTTCCTTGAGCAAGAAACTATATTAATTGCCTAATACTGGTTGTTTCCAGAAACGGATTCGACAATGTTTGAATAAGCTTATAGCTTCCAACACAATCAAATCTTGAATTTATTTGTGTAAACAAAACCAACAAATTATAACACTGTAAACCTTTACCCTTCTTAAATCAAAACTTGATAAGCCTTGGCAACTTGTTTAGAGTCAGGCTAGCCTGTATATCCAAGCAGTCTGACCAGACTCCAACTGCTGTCTGCTGGTTGACTTAATTTTAAATTTTTCTCCTGATAGACCCATAATTGATAATGAACAGTTCGAAAAATGGAAACTGGAAAAATTCATTTAACATAGTCGGCAGGTTAAAGGGTTAAAATAGTGGTTAAGTTTTGTCTGCTCACTTAGCTCAATATGGAAAGCATCAGATTAGTAATTAAAGGTTCGCGGTGCCATCCCCAGGGGAGCAGTTATTTCTCCATGACAATTGGTCATTCAAATTGAGTCTAATGGTCACATTTTTCCAGCACTGATTCAGAAATCACTTTGAATTAGTAGTTATTCACTTGCATAGAAATTGATTATTACTGGTTAGTTATCCAGAAAAGCTGGTTAGGTGGATCCACTATTATGTTGATTTTCAGTTGTACAAGGAGTCCTTAACAAACATGTTGTCTTTTTCTGGTTATTTGTGAATGGTACCTGAGCCTTTTGATTTTGATTTATTAGACTCAACAATTAAAAAAACAACAAATTTTTGTGAAAAGCATTTAATATGGGGACTTTGGGGTACACAGTAATAAAACATTGCCATACATATTTAATAAGCTTAAATCTGATTACATACATTTATTCTTATTTTAAAAACACTTCATAGAAAAATATTGCTATATTGGATTTAAGTGCCCATTAAGCATATATAGTATGTGTGTAAATATAGTCAAAATATCTTAACATTTTTCTCATGTTTATGATAGTTTATAGATGTGAAGAAAGTTGTCATATTTCTCATCAGTTTGCACAACACTGATATACAGCTTCTTTGTTTCCTCACACCAGCATACAGCACATGTTCTTTCCAAATTCTTCAACACAACCTTACCTGTAGAAAAATCTCCTGATATCTCTTCTATAACATTTCTTTCCCGGTCACACACAAAGACTGTACCATCATCTGACAGTGACATTCCTCTAGGACCACTCATGCCTCTATAACTACCTATCACATTGCCCTGCCAGTTTAATCTTCTCACTGTCTCCATGTAACAGTCAGACACATAGATAGAACTTCTGTTACATGTGATATAAAATGGCTCTTTGAAAATATTATTTTTATCAATTGTTGTTTGTATTGCGCCATTCAGGTCAAGGATCTGAAGTTTTGCTGGACGAAGGAAAGACACAACAAGTTTACCTTGGTAACAGCTTATACCATAACACTTTCCATCAACCTTCATAGTGTGCTTCCTTATGAGTTTGTTTGATGAGATTAATATAAATTGTATTGTTTGTTTGTTAGGAAGTGTGACAGCAAGTTCAGTACTGGTTACTGTGGTGATATCCCATGGTCCAGAATCTAGTTGTAGTTGATCAGACACAGATTGACTGCTGGTATCCACCATCTTTACAGCATCGATAATATAGTCAGTGATCATAAGAAGATCAGGGGCCAGCAGAGTCATTCCTGTTATCCCACACAATATTCCATCTTGCCGTGTCTTCACACAGATTTCTCCCTCATGTGAAGGTTGTCTAGACTGTATGGGTAGAGCTTCTTTATTTAAAGTTCTCTCTATCAGTGTACCAAAATACTTCTCTTCTTTAAGCTTGGTTAATATTGCCACATTTGCTTTAAAGTGGTGCTCTTTGATATCAAATGAAGAAAGTTTTAGTTCTTTTTCCTCCATATCTTTCATTGTTTTCTCAGCAAGTTTGAGTTCCATGAAGAGTTTGTCAGCTTTTTTTGATGTGTTAAGCTGTTTGATTTTATCTGATGATGCCTTCAAAAATTTGGTTATATCTTCACATGTTGTTTCTACTGCTTTCAGATGTTTGTTGTTTTCTTGTGTTATCACTTTAGCTGCATCTTCAGCCTGTCTCTCAAGTTCATCTAGTCTTTGGTTGATTTCTTGCCGAAACTTTTTGATTTCTGCCAATGATTCTTTGAGAGAGCTGTTGGATTTGTATGTCATGTTCTTAACATCTTCTAGCTTCCGTGAAATTGGTCACAAGTGTTATTTACTGCATTCAAAATAACTTGATATTCTTTACTGTCTAATATATCACCAGAAATGTCTGGAATATAATCAACTTTGCAGGAAGTAGTTTGGTGATCAAGGGTAACACAAACACTGCAGAGTAAATTTGTATGGTCATTACAGTAGAACTTGATCATTTCTTTTGAATGTTTAAGACAGGGTGTGGTCAGGAAATAAGACTGGCCTGTATGGGTGGGTGTTGAGGGTTGCTGCAAAACGTTAGGCATATTAGTAGCGTCCTGAAGTATGTGATGTTTTGAAGCCCTATTCACTTTGTGTGCTGTAAAACAATTCTTGCAGAGGTGTTCCTTGCAGTCAGTACAGTAACCATGGGCAGGTAGTCTAGGCCCTACCTCGTCACAAGGCTGGCAGTAAATTTGAAGATCTTCATCTGATGCCATGGATGTTGTTGATGATGAAAATTGTTTTGATGCTTTCTTTCCTGAGATTGCCATGTTTTACCTAAAATGTATTATAATAAACTAACTCCTGAATTAAGAATGTTTAAGTTTTTCCCAGCTATTCCGTAGGTACAAACAAACTTTTACAGCTACAGCTTTGAAAATAAACTCAACAGGTTGACTAATCTATTGTGTTGGATAGTGTACCGTGAAAATATAATGGTAAAAAATTGTTTGTACCAACAGATTAGCTGGGAAAAACCCATATTTGCCGTGTTCTGGATAATATCTATAGATTACTATGTATTGTATGTTTTCAAAAACATAAAACTCAAGATTCATTGCTGATTTGACACAAAGATAAAGTCTAGTTTATACTTACTTCCATGACTTTTTTGTGGTTAAAAGTTATGTTGGGAAAATATTCAAGGAAATATACATTGTTCATTTCATATTTTTGACTTGTTATTTGTGATGAAAGTTGATGTTATGGTATATAATTATGCCCCCAAGAAGAGGGGGTATATTGTTTTGTTATTTGGTTGGTGTGTCTGTAAGTAGACCACTTGGTTTCCGCTGATTATCTTACAAAGTCTTCATATTACAGATACTGATTGATCATAACTAGTAGATGACCCCCCTATTGATTTTGGGATTACTAGGTCAAAGGTTAAGGTCAAAGGGACCTTTAATGTCAGAATGGTTTTCACTCATTATCTTGAAAGCTTTTTATAACAAAGTCTTCATATTTTACATACTGATTGGTCATAACTTGCAGATGACCCCTATTGATTTTGGGGTCAAAGGTCAATGTCACAAGGGCCTTAAATGCTAGAATGATTTCCGCTCATTATCTTGAGAACTATCTTTTACAAAATCTTCATATTTCACATATGTGGTCATATGTAGTGAATGACCCCTATAGATTTTGGGACCACTTGTTCAAAGGTCTAGTTCACAGTGACCTTAGATTAACAATGGTTTCCACTGATTCCTTTGAAAACTTTTTATCACAAAGTCTTTATATTTCACATATTGATTAGTCATAATGTGATCACTAGTTCAAAGGTTAAGGTCTTTATATTTCACATATTGATTAGTCATAATGTGGTCACTAGATCAAAGGTCAATGTTTTATATTTCACATACTGATTGGTTATTACAAGTAGGAAATTATTTTTCTTTATTGCTTAACTGAACACTTCCAGGTACCCATTTATGACAAGTTTCTATAACAAAATTTCCAATGATATTAGTCAAGGGCTAGAAAGTTGGGCCCATGTGTGGTTCGACATTTCTTGTTATTAAAAGCTCTTATGTATGATGCCTCTACATGGAGGGGTGATATACATTTGCCTTTATCTGTCCATCTATCATGCTGTCCTGCTGGTATGTTGTCCTTCCAAAGACTGACAAAACAGTGGAAGGCGGGGGCATCAATGTTTTATGTTTATCTTCATTTAATTCTGTTTTTTTTTTTGTAAAAAAAAGTTAGAATTAAATAAATGGTTTAATTGGTACAATACATGTTAGTTATATTGTATATTATCTAATGCTATGTCAAAGTCTATATATCAAGTAACTTAGTTGATTTAAATATTTTATATCATATGATTATTGGGCCATGTATGATAAGGAGATGTAAAAGGTAAAGGTTGTATGCAAATATATTTACAGCAGACATTTTCAAAATTGTTTTGGCATTTCACATTGGGATATCAGATATCTTAAAATAATCACTTGACTTAATCAGTTTTCCCTGGATCAAAATATAATGGAAATCAGGAAAAAAGGCAAACTATTGAATTAGACCCTGCTGTATATTTCAGAAGTAAAACTTATATATTATAAACTTAAGAAAACAGGGTGAATCATTAATTTATATTTCCGGTTCAAGGATAGAGCGCCCGCCCCGCTTTCACCCGCCCACCAAGAAGACAATTTCATTTGACATATGACATAATGCCTTAATTGCCCTAGTTTCTACATAGCAGCATTGGTCTTGGGCACTTCATGAATGCCAAATCTAAAAGGTCTGAAATTTAAAGGTCAAGGTGAGATTGACCTTTTATGCCAAAACAGATTCCAACCAATAACTCTACAACCCATAGGCCCCAACTGTAACTATGTTGTGCCTATTTTTTGAGTTCCAAAAGGGCAGATAATCCTAGGATTATATTATAACCAAAAGAAAATGTATTCACTTCACACTTGAAATTCTAGTTAGTCTGTTAATCACATTTACAGAATTATACCCCTTCTTTTTTATTGAATTATATTATAAAGCAATTAGAAAGTGGAGCGCTCTGTCCACTGACAGGTCTGATTACAAATATTAATCTAATTAAAAGGCATGCAAAATAACCTAGTCCAGAAGTTTTTCAATACCATGACTTTGTGTATCAAAATATATTTGTATATATATATATATATATTTAACTTCCTTTTAAAAATTTTTTTTATAAAATGAGAATGCTCACTAATTGCGATCGAGAAATAACTTTTTGTAGACATTAAGATATTTAATAAAAATATTGTACCTTGTAATCTTAATCCTCAAATTGTCTCACAATTTTCTAATGTTAATATTTTGCTGTTGATATTGGATATGTGGAATTTGCTCCTTTTCTACTTCCTTGTTTTATAACACTTAAAACATTGTAAAGTTAAATTTTAAGTTGTTCTTTCACAACGTGCTGAAAAGTTAAGTTGTTATCATCCCTAATTTATTGGTGTGTAAATGTTTAAACTTAATGTTGACCTAGTAGGACAGTCATAAACTGTGTTGAGAAAATTATATAAAAGGGGATTGATTTAATAATGAAATTTCATTTTTTTTTTTAATTGTATATTCTTCTTACAGTATTTGAAAGCTTCAATTGGGATTGCTTAAGAGCCCAAAAGGGTCAATGTCATTGTTTAAATGAACAAAGTTATACTGTACTATGCTTTTTAGCTCACCTGTCACAAAGTGACAGGGTGAGCTTTTGTGATCGCTTTTCGTCCGGCGTCCGTCCGTCCGTCCGTCCGTCGTCCGTAAACTTTTACTTTAAATGACATCTCCTCATAAACCACTAAGCCAATTTCATCCAAACTTCACAGGAATGTTCCTTTGGTGGTCACCTTTAAAAATTGTTCAAAGAATTTAATTCCATGCAGAACTCTGGTTGCCATGGCAACCGAAAGAAAAAACTTTAAATATCTTCTTTTAAAAAACCATAAGAGCTAGAGCTTAGATATTTGGCATGAAACATCTTCTAGTGAGTGTCTACCAAGTTTGTTCAAATAAAAGCCCTGGGGTCAAAATTGGCCCCGCCCCGGGGGGTCATTGATTTTCCCTATATGCATATAGTAAAAACTTAAAAAATCTTCTTTTAAAGAACCCAAAGAGCTAGAGCTAAGATATTTAGCATGAAACATTTTCTAATGGGTGTCTACCAAGTTTGTTCAAATAAAAGCCCTGTGGTCAAAATTGGCCCCGCCCCGGGAGGTCATTGATTTTCCCTATATGCATATAGTAAAAACTTAAAAAATCTTCTTTTAAAGAACTCAAAGAGCTATTGCTGAGATATTTAGCATCAAACATGTTCTAATGGGTGTCTACCAAGTTTGTTCAAATAAAAGCCCTGGGGTCAAAATTGGCACCGCCCCAGGGGTCATTGATTTTCCTTATATGTGTATAGCAAAAACTTAAAAAATCTTTTTTTAAAGAACTCAAAGAGGTATGGCTAAGATATTGAGCATCAAACATGTTCTAATAGGTGTCTACCAAGTTTGTTCAATTAAAAGCCCTGGGGTCAAAATTCGCCCCGCCCCGGGGGTCATTGATTTTCTTTATATGTGTATAGCAAAAACTTAAAATCTTTTTTGAAAAAACCCAAATAGCTAGAGTTTAGATATTAAGCATGAAACATCTTCTAGTAAGTGTCTACAAAGTTTGTTCAAATAAAAGCCCTGGGTCAAAACTGGCCTGGCCGAAGGGGTGTCATTGTTTTTAACTATATGTATATAGTAAAAACTTAAAAAAAATCTTCTTTTAAAAAGCCCAATGAGCTAGAGCTTAGATGTTTAGCATGAAACATTTTCTTATGGGTGTCTACCAAGTTTGTGCAAATAAAAGCCCTTGGGTTAAATTGGCCCTGCAACGTTGGGGGGGGGGTGCGGTTGTGGGGGGGGCCTATATACAGGTGAGCGATATCAGGGCCATCATGGCCCTCTTGTATTTATATTCCAATGATAACACAACTTCCAACAATCAAATTTGAAATGCCTATCTAAGGGGCAGATAATCTTGAAAGACATTTTTGCTTTCCTTTTTTTTTACTTGGAATAATTTCTCTTAAACCTTTAAATGTCTATTTGAAAGTTATTATATTTTATTAAAAATTGGTTATTGATAGTGATTTTTCTAAGTATCGCTGTCCGTGGAAGTAAAACAAATTGTTGAGTTTTGTTAGAAATAGAATTGTTTGAGGTAATTTAAAAGAAACAAACTGGAAATAATAGACACAATTTAAATGGGCAAGATTGTTGTGCCAGTTTACCTGCTGCTATAATGGACAATGCCATGTTTGTTCTCGAAATTGGAATCAGTCCACAGTTATTTGCCTTTCGTTGACCACAATAAGGAAGTAAATCCGCATAAAAGAGTGCCTGTGTTTAATACCAGATATAAATGAATAATTGAATAAAAGAGATAGAAAAAAGGACATTTTCTGACAGAATTCATTCAAATAGTTGGTAAATGCCAATTTTGATCCAGATTTTATGTGAGTAAGTATTTTTTTAGTGTTTTTCTACATGACAGAACTCACATGGTTCCGGCTAATTACTGAAAACTGTCAGACTGATGTATTTTGAACTGAAATGCTGTGAAAAAATGTCTCATGACCCCTAGCTGGAATTATTTATCTTGGATGGTACTGTATAAGCACAAGTGACTTTGACTTGATTGGAGAGTTAGTAAAATTGCCACAGGGTTTAATGTTTATATAGAACATATAGTGAAATTAATTGTGGTCTGAGGCAAATTGTGAAAATTAGCTACTAAGTATTGGTTTTCTAGCAGTTAAAATTAGAGACTGCATCGCTTACAAAATTGTGAAATCGTTGAAGATTGGCTTTTTATTGATGACAATCAAGATGCATAATGTTTATTAGGAGCTGATTTTAATCAAGATTGGTACAAAGAAAAAGTTTATGCAAAAAATAATCATTTCATTCAAATCAACACCGATTTGCTTATAGATTTTTAAAGGTTATACATTTTTCTTTACTTTATCAATCCTTTTACAAATCACAAGTGATTAGCCTTTGTCAACAATATAGAAGCAGGCCAGCCTGTACATCCATGCTGTCTGACCAGGCTGACGGTATACTGTTTATTGGTAAATTTTAAATTTTCAAGTGTGTTCAAATAAAAGCCCTGGGGTCAAAATTGGCCCTGCCCCAGGGGGTCATTGCTTTTCCTTATATGTATGAAGTAAAAACTTTAAAAATCTCTTTTAAAAAACCGAGAGCGCTAAAGCTTAAATTAAGTTGGAATGAAACATTGTCTGATGAGTGTACCAAGTTTGTTGATTTAAAAGCCATGGGGTCAAAATTGTCCCCGCCCGGGGTCATTGATTTGTCTTATATATATATATATATATATATATATATATATATTATATATATATATATATATATATATATATATATATATAATATATATATATATTATATATTTATATATATTATATAAAATCTTTTAAAAAAATCTTCTTTTAAAAACCCAAAGAGTAAGAGCTTAGATATTAAGCATGACACATCTTCTGGTGATTATTTACCAAGTTTGTTCAAATAAAAGCCCAGGGATCAAAATTGACCCCGCCCCGGGGGTACTGATGTTCCTTATATGTCTATAGTTAAAACTAAAAAAATCTTTTTTTAAATATCCCATAGAGCTAGAGCTTAGATATTAATCATGGAACATCTTCTAGTGAGTGTCTACCAAATTTGTTCAAATAAAAGCCCCAGGGTTAGATTGGCCTGGCCCCGAGGGTCTGATTTTCCTTATATATTTTTAGTAAAACTTTTAAAAACCCCAAAGAGCCAGAGCTTAGATATTTATCATGAAACATCTTCTAATGGGTTTCTACCAAGTTGGTAAAAAAAGCCCCTTGGTTAAAATTAGCCCCGCCCCAAAGGCCTATATAAGGTGAGCGATTTCAGGGTCATCATGGCCCTCTTGTTTTACAATTTGAATAATTAAGTGCGCGAATGATCTGAAATTTTGCACAAAGATTAGTGGTCTAAACCTTTATCTAATGGTACATTTATCTGGAAAAATATTTGGACATCCATCATGTCAAAAAACTTCAGTGGAGTCCCTTTAATGATCAGTGGTAATTTTTGTTCAAATTCACAGCATCATGACATTTGGTATACAAATGCAACCCGGCTTTTTCTGTCTTTGACCCTTTTTGTTATACTCTATTTCAATTCCTTTGCAAGGTATTCTGTTACTAGTAACTTCCTCATTTCCGAAGCAGTCTTGCGGGGGTATTAATCTTATTTAGTGATAGTTCTAGTTTGAGATTAATAATATCTGTCATATGTTGCGGTTCAGATCATAATATCCCAAGGGGTCCTATTCATGGACGGGTTCCCGAGGGACGGGTATTCCAATCCGAATCGCAAACATATGTCATTTTTTCCTACATAATCTATCATAATCCAATATATTTTTAATTCTTTACCTTAATAAAACTAATTTCAATGGAAATTTATGTCATAACAACCGTATATATTTTCATACAGCAGCGTATGAAATTTCACTTCCATTCATTATACGGCAAAATTACATCATTCTAAGTATGACATTGTATAGCACGCGACTCATCTGGCACCCCCATGACAGATAAAATTTCCAGCATGATTAAAATTGATGGAAACACCAGTCTGATTTGCAAAAAAATACTCTGTCAAATTGTTATAAATGAAAGTCTGGATTTCTATTTAGTGATATAAAACCCATATTACTCAGAGAATATCACTCATAGTGTTGTTAACATAGCTTTGCCGATTTTTTGTGTGGCCTACGTATTAATTCATGACTTCTTAATTTTACTTAAAAATGTAATGTGCATCTTATTCTTGAAGCATATTTTTTGCTTCAAAGGCAATTACTGCACTAAAGTAATATTTTTTCCACCGCAATGATGACCTTATTCCGCAGTAAACTCATTTTTAGATCGACTTTTCACAGAATAATCGAGCTAATGCAGTCACCCATTTGTTGGCGTCAGCGTCCCTGTGTTTATGTTTTTGCGTGTAAGCTGCTATCTCAATAACTTAACTGAAGAGAATGGATTGAAACTTCACACACTTGTTCTCTGTGGTTATTTAACATGATAGGCTTAAGTCTCATAACTCTTGATTTGCTTAATTGCATAATTATGCCCTTTTTCGACTTATAAATTTATGGTTAAGATTTCGCATATAAGCTGGTATCTTTATTACTTCTGAAGGGTTTGTGCCTTTTTTATGTGACAATTTTATGCATTCATAATAATAAACCAGTATTCACGATAAAACATCTTATTAACAAGCCTAGAACCTTTTCGGACAATTTTATGGATTCATCATATAGGTAAGCATTATTATACTCAATGAAACACCCTTGTGACAACTTTTTCAAATAATCGAGCATCG